TGTGTGTTTTATTCCCTTCATAAGGTGCACTTGTGGTTGCCGATTTTATCCAGCGAAAACCTTACCACCAGGGGTCCAAAAATGAGACAAGCCTGAGGGTTTCGATATTCGATCAAGTTACGAAGACGACCTGATATATAACTTATTCGAGGCGATGAATTCGACTGATAGTTCAGTGTTACAGAGCTACAATGCTGCCAGGTAAACATCTGTTACGCACAGTGTAATCGTTGATTTCAGATAAGAATGAGTTTGCCTGATAATATCGATTTGGAGATATAAATGTTGATACTAGAGACAAAAACACGATTAAGCTGTTTTGTCGCTTTAGAAACTTTCAAATACGATGCCACATTTTTGCCTGAAACCTCAAAGCCATTATCGGTTTTGTTTATTCTAGAATAATTATAGGAGGTTAAGTTTAACAGAATTTTACGTCGCTTTCCTCTCGAAGTAAGTGGGCGGGCTTCATTTATTTTCCGGATGCGCCGGTAAATCGTCCGACGTGTTTCCAGTGTCATTCATTTCACCTTCGCTTGGTGAAATATAAGCTTACCTAGCGACGAATAGTAATTTCAGGAGGGATCCGGCGAAGTAGATGAAATTTCACTGTCTAGTAGTATGAACAAGGTAAGGTTTCATGACTCCGTTTCTGGGAATTAGAACTGTCCTAATTCTGAGAATTAGGACTTACTCGGACTTGGTTGTCTGACTTGTGCAAACGGTAATTACAGAATATATGAACGCCGTTTTGAGGAAATTATCGCTCGGTATTTTCCCAATGTGAGTTTCAAACAGTTAAAATTATTGTACATCAAGAATTTCGAAAATATTATGATTCGTTTTAAGTTCAAACAAAAAAAAATCGGGCTTCAAAATCGTTTTAGTTCGTTTAGTTGTGGACGAGCGGTCATGGTGATAATTTGTATACAAGGACACTGGCGCCCACAATTCAATTAGACACGAACGGTAAAAAGTTACACATGAATTCGTAAATTTGCTATGATTTTTCTGTTGAAAAACATTTTGATACAAGGTATAGTGATGTCAGTCGGCGGTTGGATTAGAGAATGTGTGTGTACTCGCATTTTATCGCAGTCTTTCACCCATTTTTTATTGGCCTTGGTAAAAAATATCAAATCGACAGAAAAGTTTAAAAAGAACTGTGCGCTCTGACTCACTGAATGAAATTGAGTAAAGATGAATTAGGTGAATTAGAGATTTAGGCTTCATTTTGCGTTTGGAATCCATTAAAATCCGGCGCTTAGGCGAATTTCTGTGTCCTTTAAAAAATATCTTTATTTTGCAACTGTGAAATAACTATTGTTTCTCTTTTAATGCATGAATTTCAGTTCAGTTACTTTTCCGTTCTGATCCCACGGAAAAAGTCATTTTTTTCTGTTTAAGTTGTGCGGAATTTGAGAATTTTTGTTTTGTTCGTATACTGACAGCTTAAGAGCAGGCTTTCGTTATTAGCGCTGCGGAAGAGTGTTTCTTTGCCCGAGGGTAAGGTTAGGGAACCGACAAGAGGTGCGCAGGAGATCCAGCACCAATCACTTCTACTTGTAGACCCCTCGCCGGCTAGAGTCGCCCAAGGCCTAGAACTTTCTCTCGGGCGAAGAAACCCTCTAAAAGTTCATCTTAATGCATGTTATAAATTACTTCTTAAATAAGTTAAGGTCTCTGATTGTTTGACTCGGTATCTTTCGGTATCTATATTTACGGTATCTTTCGCTTCTGCGTGCGATCACTGAAACACCATTGTGCCTGCACAGAGTGCGTGACTTGCAAACATAGCCAACATCATCATTATATTCTTAATCAACCAGCGGAAACGTAAATGCTGCTTAAAAAAAGGTTTCTGCGTGACTGAGTTCATCCCAGAACGAGGAGACAAAAACGCGAAGAAGCATGTCGAGGTTTTAGCCAATAGGAGTCCGCGGATTCACCTACGGCAGTGATATCAGATATTCACCGAACTGTCATTAAACGTATCGTCTTCATGTTACCATCCCATTCGTTAAAACTACTGTACCCAGGCGCTGTACAAATTACACATCAAAAGCCAGTCGGGTGAACACTTGTGAAAACTTTCAGCAGCAAATTTTTTACAATCTGTTCCATTATGAGGTACGTACTTGTAAGAGTAAGCTTGGTTATCCGAAGCAAAACTTTAAAGTTCTTCTTATCGTAATTTTCAATAAGAGGTTTCGATGATGCCCGTAGAAACTGTTTCGATGACGCCCGTAGAAACTGTTTCGATGATGCCCGTAGAAACTGTCCCCTCAGTCACTAAGGTTTTTCTCGTCCCATCATTCGTCTGTTGCGTCGGTGATTTTTATATTGAACTTTTTCTTTAAATTGCTACTGAATTACAGACAGCTTGCTTTAGAAATAACGCGAAAAGCGTTATACCTATCAGAGCCTGTATCGGATAATAAATAGGGCACCCTGCTCGCATTCCTCACACTCCTGTTGCGTCGGTGATTTTTAAATTGAACTTTATCTTTAAATTGCTACTGAATTACAGACAGCTTGCATTTGAAGTAACGCGAAAAGCGTTATACCCATCAGAGCCCGTATCGGATAATAAATAGAGCACCCTGCTCACATTCCTCTCTTTCTACGGACTGAACAAGGAAGATATATCTTTGGACGAACCCAGTAATACCATCTGTCGGAATCGAAACGACACGAGTTTCTCTATTTCTTGCAGCTCAAGAGACAATGATTTTTCTGCTGAAGAGATGGAAAATTTTGATACAAGGTATAGTGATGTTAGTCGATGGTTGGAAGATAATTGTTGTGTATCCACATTTCATTTCAATCTATCAGCCATTATGTATCCTTTTCATGTATAAACCTTGGTAGAATGAATAATGGAAAAATCGAATCGACAGAAAAGCATCAAAGGAACTGTCCATCCACAGTTCATGACAACGATGGATAAATTATATTACTGGAGGTAGGAAGTGGGCATCGACAGTTTTTAAATAACATCGCATAAATTTCGTTTTCTTTTTAATAAGTTTTACATACTGAACGAACAACCGTGAAAATACGTCGTTTGTCCAATTAGACACGAACGGTAAAACGTTACACATGAATTCGAAAATTTATAATGGTTTTTCGGAAGATAATTGTTGTGTATCCACATATTATCTCAATTTATCACCCATTATATATCCCTTTCATGCGACCGGGGCTTTATGCAAAGAGATTAACATAACCAAATGTGCCAACCGAGTATTTCCAAAGTCATGAGTCGATCACGTGAAAAAAAAAAGACTCTAATACTTAACTATAAAACATGAAAGCGGGGTCTGTCGTGAAAATGAAATGAAAGATTTGTTCTTCGAGAGAAAATCTCTGGTCGTGTCTTGTTCAGATCAACTTTGTTCTCTTTGCCGTTGTTATCTTAAACGCTTAGATTTTGCTACACTTTTCCAGTGAAATAAGTTAGATTACCAAGAGGACTCAGCAGAAGTATATTATAGATAGCTAAGAGTGAATTATGAAAGTTCTG